GTGGATAATATAACATTTACGTTTAGTATGTAGCTCAACAGAGGCTCTTGAGTCGCAGTCATCACTGCGACTTGTCCACAAAAGATACAAGGCTGCATTGTAGAAATCAATCTGATTACATGTGCTCCCAAATGTCCTGTATCCTGTTAACTTTTAGTTAGTAAATAATCCAGATCCTGAAAACCCCCAATATCACTGGTCTCAACTTGACATATTTTACTGACTAAAGGCAGGGCTAAAAAAAAAGTGCCATCCAGTCATCCAGGACAAGTAGAGTTTCCTATTGGGCAAGTAGCTTTTCATTCTCTCATGCCTGATGGACAAGGGATGAGGCAAGCCTCTGCTAACTAACTCATTGAAATAGCAAACTAAGACTTGCCCAGGGCAAGCAAAATTTGAGAGCTTTTAGCTGGAATTGGAGTTTTTATCAAGCCCTGTAACGAATCAGGCAAAATATAGCTCAGTCAAGTAGCCAGAGGAAATCATGAAATAGATAGTGATTTTTGCTGGTAACCAAATAGTTTTGACAACTTTGAATGTATATTAAATTACAAAAGAGGGCTTAGTTTTCATGATCTCTATTCGTTTAAGTGTTATCAGGCTGCTAACATTTATATTTTACACTCAATCTTGTTTTTTTCAGGATACATAAAAACCACATTAAACATAGTTAAATATTAGCCGTGAAAAGGGGCAATCCAACTACTGTAAGGGATAAGAATTTATAATAAACCCAGCAATCATTAGTTTAAAAAAATACAGCATCACACTTCCTTGAATGATACATGTACTTACAGAATATGCTGCTATTAAGTATGCTGCATTTGCTCTTTTCCTGCTGTCAAATGAGGTGTAATGAACAATCTTCTTCTTTGCTAGTGAGAAGGACTGCAAATACAATCCAACAAAGATGCATTGCTGACAACTGTTTTCACTGGAACATTTTAAACTGTAAGAATTGGTAATATTTATTTACACGTACATGGTGAGAAATCACTGATAGTCCTTTATTGCCTTATAAGATGATAAGAGAACGTATACTAATTGTGTCAGACCTGTGGGTTTTATAATGTCCCATGTGTATTGACTGTGATGCTAGATGATTTCAGGGTTTCAACGCCATCTTGGACTGACTGGCACAGATGGCCCCAGTATGATGTAATAATTGGTCAGCAAAGTCACAGTATTAACAAATACAGTAGTTTAATTAAAGTCACATGTTTACCCAGAAAGTAACAGGAGTACTCATTAGTGTAAATAATTATAATTTGTACAAGTGCAAATACATAATTACAATAACACTCTCAAATCCTTATCCCCAACTGTGCAAAGCTGTGGTTGGAATTCTGGTCAAGAAAGGGTTTTAAAAACTAAATAAACATTATTACATGTAGAACAAGGATAAAAAACACATAACTAAATATATTTGGACTTGCTCATACATAGTGGTACATGTATATGACTACTAAATCGTAAAATGAGACATCTTTTTGGAATAGGGTAGCCCTGCAACATGGAATCCCGATTTTCCAAACCACCAAGGGAACGAAAATTGTAGATAGGGAATCCAGGGTAAAATTACAGTGTTTGACTGACGGAGGAAAACAACTTTTGGTGCAAGTTATCACAAGGTTTGAAAAATCGAGGGTTCGAGAAATCAGGATTCAAGTACATATTTAATAAATTGAACATTTCCCTTGAATTATACTATAACTTTACATCACACCTGCTGAAGTCCCCAGAGAGAAGTAGAGTCACATGTAAATATTAGCCAAATGTTTATTACATGTACAGTGGCTGTGATGTGCAGACTTCTTGAATGTGAAAGGAGATTCCTCTTATGCCTTGTGGCTTGTACACCATGTTTATTATTTATGTACAGTGCTTTACATGTAGGTTCAATATAACAGTTGAAGGGAGTATCTCTGTGTTACAAGGTGTGACAGAATTTCACAGTTCTGCATATACCATGGAACAACTTATTAAATTTCACGACCAGAATGGTAAAATGTGAATATCCAATTGAAAGAAAGAGTATTACCATGGTCAGTGTTATTGTACTAACCACGTAGTTTGTTCTAGCTAGCAAATGAAACACACAAACGAACACAAATTAACTTGCACGATATTGTGCCAAAGAAAACTAAATTATTTTGGCAGAGTGTCGGCGTATTAATATCACAAAAAAAGACAATTTTTTAGTCACTCCTAGAAATGTTAATTTCATTAAATGTTCAAATTAAATAAAAACTTTGTATATTAAAGGATACCCTCAGGCAATCCTATAAAAACACCTCACATAGAATTTGTGCTATCATAAGGGGAACGAAAGAATTCTAAAGATGTAAGATCGCAATTCTACAATATCGCAGACCCTCAACATGAAACAACTCAAATTAGCGGAAGCCCTGATTTAAAGTACAAGCTTAATTGAATCCGCATTTACTTCACGGAAAAGGAAGTTTTCAAGAATGTATCTACGGAAAAAAGAGGAGGATCTTGTATGTAATGTAATTTGTGATTCGATATCATGTTTTACTTATCTGTTTAAAACACGAGGCAAATTTCCAAACCACAGACCTAACCGTTGTAGAAACTTGCGTTTTATGTACATGAAACCACAACGATGGTGGAATGACAACATACATGAAAATCTCAGGGCTTTGAAACGATCTTGTCCAAGTTTTCAAAGCAACAAGGAAAGGAAAGGGTATATTTACGTGCTAAAGTAAGGGACTACGACACAAATACGAAGCTTAGTGATAAACAAATATCACCGAGACTTGAAAGCAGGAAACATACACCTTCCATCGATGTTTTGATCGTGTTTTATATGATAATTCATATCTTGAGTGATACAGTCGTTTATCAACATCACTTAACAGAATGAACATAAAATCCTTAAAATACGGGACGTGGAAGCTTTAAGGACGCTAAGCCGTAGCATTGATTCACATAAAGGCATGCTAATTTTAATTCCACAAGCGTGAGTTACTTCCATTACGACCGGTGGAAGCTCGAAGTCCGCTGGGATACAAGAAACCACGGCAGGGGAAAAAGTCAGAATTTGAAAACATGTATCACACAATCGGATGCGATATCTTCATCAATACATTTTTATCGACAAGTTGAAGTATACGATTTAAAACAGGGAAGCTTACCTTAAGCTTCTTGTTTAATTTACAACAGTAGCGGTACAACATAGCGAGGTTCAAGGGCCCGAAGTCAGCGTAGAAACTGCAACGAGAGAAGTTTACAAATTGAGTAATTAGAAGGCTAGCTTACGACAAATAACAAGCCAAATTAAAACACACTTACTTCTCATAAACCAGTTCATCATCTACACAAAAGTAGTGAACAGAGACGGTGCTTCGAGGCTTGTTTCGCAAAGTGGCGAAGTACAGTCGATCTGGTAAAAAAAACACACAGGACATCTACGATAAATACACAATTTCTGGTGGTAAACCATACTGGCAGCGGATTTAAAACGACCCAGATATACCTTTCAGAAACTCGCATGCGTTTGATAGCTCATTTTCGTCGGCCATAACGTTAAAAACAAGCAAAAAAGAACAGAAATCTTCGTAAAATTCTACAACACCAGTAATGCGTTTACTCCATTCTTCTACTAAGCTTCGACTGCATTACATTTTTCCACCAATCACAGCACAGAGCATTGGGTTGCCATGGGCGATGACCCGTCCATTGCACAATAGGAATTCATCAGGGCGCATAAAATGATAAACACAACAAGAACTGTTGTACGGTGTGTCATTCTGTGAACGAAATAAAGTATTTTTGATCGGGTTTGACGGATTTAAAAAAAAAAACAACAACCCGATTACGGAATTTTCAGTGACTTTTCAGAATTTTCAGAGGAAACATTCCGTTTCAAAGTATTAGTCCTAAAATTAGTACACTTTTGCAAACTTGAACAGCAATATGGAAGCCATGACAAAGAGTAGTTTTATACATGTTGTATATCTATTAGATTTTGGTAGACAAATAAAAAAAAAATTGAGGAGTGCACGTTCGAAAAATCCAAACAACCTTGGCATTTAGGTGACTGAACACATTTTCTGCGGATGTTGGGGTATAAAAAAGAATGAGAATTTTTTTTCTTGCCCACTCCGTTTTATGACGTAGGAAAACATTTCGGGTAATTTTTTTATGAGTTCCTTTAACATTTTTTTTTCCCTCTTCGAACACTACTGAAAATTGACTTTCCTGAGCAAGTATTAACTTAGTTTTCGACATTATTTTTACGACAATTCAAGTACTCTTCGTCCCAGGTCTATATAAAAGTGTTCGTTTTCTCAGCGTTATAATGTAAATTTATTGCGTTTGTTTTCTATAAACTTCCTGTTGCAAATCACCTGCTATTTGTGGTCATTAATAGCATGAGTTCTGACACACTTGGTTGCTATTTATGGAAGAATCACCTGCATCAAGCTGTGTAACTTTTAAATATAACTTCAGAGATTTCATAACTCCATCCCCCTCCCAGCGGTGATACCATGTTATTATCATGGGAAAAAAAAAATCGGTGATATTGAAAGAGCCTTAAGCTGATGACCGCTAACTTCACCTGACAAGGGGCCTGAAAAGCGTACATGCTCAGCAGCATGTCCTAATCGCCAATAGCCCAATTTCGATATATTAAGATTCAGCGTGAAACAATAGACCTCAGCACGAGGCTCTTGGGAATTAACCCCACAAACTCTGAAGTTATTCCCCAGAGCCTCGTACTGAGGTCTGTTGTTTTAGGCTGAATTTTTTTGGTCTATTAATCCTATTCAGACCTACTTTTGTCTTACGACCGCCCGGGTAGGGGGGAGTAATTCGCCAGCTCCCAGCCCCGTCCCTGTAGCGCAATGGCGTTTATCCTTTGACTATGTAACGTTATCATGATGACAGCGTCCTATCACGTGTTAATTACCTCGTGATATCCAAACATCTACCATTTTGTCTCCGCCGTGGATTTCTTGGGTTACAACATGGTCCAAAACGTCTGGACACCACCAACTCAAAAGTAATCAAAACCAAATCAGANTACACGTTATAGGGCTGTCAATCAAGAGGGAACTTTTACTTCCGGCCGTAACGTAAAACCTCCATTTCTCCGCCAATATTGAGTTTTTTTTCAATTTTGTTTTCAGAAATTAGAGATTACCAAAAATCCAAATTTGAAGAAAATTGCCGATCTGAAGGTATACTGTAACCTTAATTATAAACTACGTGATATTTGAATCGTGCTGATAAAAATAAAAATCTCCAAATTCGAAAAAAAAGGAACATGCCTGTCATAATACGGTTGCTAGGGCAATCACGTTTCGAGTACGACTTAGATACCAAATTGTGCACAGATAAACTACTTTAGGTAAAGTCGGAACGACTGGCGGTTTTTAATTAGATATTGAAAAGTGACGAAAGTGAGCACAGCCTTTTCCCCACAACCTCCCTATCTCTTCCCTCTCTCTCTACCCCCCACCCCCAATTTCCCCGTCAAATATTGCGTAGCCCATGAACAGGTGAAAGATTAGGTGAGAGGCACAGTCTGCGAGTAGAAGCCTGCAGATAAAGAGAGCTTCTCCTTTCCCCCCTCTCTCTCGGCTTACCGACTTTACACCTCAATTTGACGCCCTTCTGA